TTATATTTATATTTAAAGAGTTCAGGCTGAAACCATGTGTGGAGGTGGGAATTGGGGCAAGGTACCAACATACTGAGAACTGGCTGACAACTACTGTAGCTCACTGCCATGTGCATTAAGTATGAAACTGCTTCGTTCACAGAGCAGAGCACTCATTTGTCTGTAGAAGTTTCAGAGTAGGGAAGTGACTCCTGGAACCACGTCTTGTTCCTGCAGGTCATGCCGGGAAAGCTGATGGACTGCCCACTGCCTCTCTGCTGACTTCTGAGCTTCTCCCAGGCTCCAGCCTCGCCTTCCCAGCTGTGACTCTGACTCTGTGGTAAGCCTTCCTTTTCAATGCTTTTGTATTACTCCACAATCACAGAGAGGACCTACGGCAGGTGGGATCTCACAGGGCTGGGCCCAATTAAAGATTTTGGTGAGAATACGAAAAAGGCAACAGAGCCATAGACTCAGTAAGTTTGGTGGGAGAATTGGATTCTTTTCTTTTTAAAGCCACTGAAGTTTTCTAAGACACCTTTTGGCCCCACCTCCCTCGAGTGTGTTAGTTGATATTTCAGCCCCGGCATTCCAAGAAACTGGACCGTTATCTCCAGCAGTTCTTACCTCTTTGCATCCTCTGATAGAATATTCTTTGAATGAACGTATATCGTCAATGAGTAGGTTCATGAGGCGTAGTTTGTCAGCAAACCCTACTACAATGAAGTGACCAGACGGGTGAAGGCTGATGGTATAGGCCTCTTCCTGGTATTCCTTGTAGAGTTCCAGAGTGCTGTGAGGAAGGTCAATTACTGCATTATCAGTCTAGCCTGCTAAATCCCTCGAGCCCTCCCCTGGTATGTATTTTTTATCACAGCATTTGAGACACTTTGTTGCTTGCAATGATTGCTTTCCCTCTTTTCTAGAGTTTGGTTATTTGAAGATAGGAGCAATGAGTATGGCAAGTAGGGAGACTGGTCAGGGGGTTATCTAGTGATGCTGAATGTGCAGCTCCATTTAGATTTCCCAAATCAGAAGGATTTCACATTTTATCTTTCAGCAGCCCCAGCAACTGCGCACAAGAACAAAGAAATTATGGTGTGGGGCCAATCTAGGTCACAGATTCTCAGGGAAGCTATGCCAGGAGGCAAAAAATATCACTAGGGAGTTGAGGGGGGTTGCAGGCAATGAGGAGAGAAAAAAGGATAAATAACAGTCTGGCGAGCTCTCTGAGGTCAAAAGCAGATCTAGTGGGAGTAAGGGGGTAGGAGAGCTGGAAGGACATAGGAGGTCATGGAATAAGGTGAGATACTGGAGTCCCTAGAGCCTAGCACAGTGTCTGGCATGGAGCAAGCATTTAATAAAGCACAAAGTCATTTTCTAGCTCATATAAGAGTGAAAAGAGAAGGCAGTTGACTGACTTGACTTAAAAATAATTTTTTTTCCCAACTGAAAGCTTCTAAGTAATTAAAATTTAAAACTCTCTAAAATAACTCACATGAAAGATTTAACAACCCAAATCCTGCATATTAAAGTAACAGAGCCTTTGCATTCCTTACTTTGACTCATAATTCCAGATGCGTATGGATCGGTCCAGAGAACAGGTGGCAATGAGGGGTTTGCGGATGCAAGTAGCCAGACCGGTGATGGATGCTGAGTGTAATGGGTACATCAGGTACTCAAAGTGGGCAGGCTCCCCCTGGAGAAATCATAGAGAATGAGATCTGGCAAAGTGAGCAAAAGGCTGGCTGTGCATTTCAGCTTTCATACTATCTAAGGACATTAGCAGGCTGGGAACCAATCATGTTAATATTATGCATATTTTCCTAAGCCTATATTATTTTAAAACATTATTCCAGCCCTAACCGGTTTGGCTCAGTGGATAGAGCGTCGGCCTGCGGACTCAAGGGTCCCGGGTTCGATTCCGGTCAAGGGCATGTACCTTGGTTGCGGGCACATCCCCAGTAGGAGGTGTGCATGTACCTTGGTTGCAGGCACATCCCTAGTGGGAGTGTGCAGGAGGCAGCTGATCGGTGTTTCTCTCTCATCGATGTTTCTAACTCTCTATCCCTCTCCCTTCCTCTCGGTAAAAAATCAATAAAATATTTAAAAAAAACCATTATTCCAATGGCAATAAAATATTTTATTCCAAGAATATACCAGAATTTTTAATTTAGCCATTCCTCTACGGTGGGGACATTTAAGTGGTCTCCAATTTTCCTTACTTGGGAATAACTAGACTAATTTCCTTGCAGTAAGTCTGTGTACCTCTGATTATTTCCTCAGATGCTGCCGGCATTAAGCTTTGTTATTGTAACCAAGTGCCTGACGGTCAGCTTTGATTGTTGAGGCATCTGTTTGAAAACATCATCTTGAAGAAACATATTGCCAGCTCTATAAGCCCAGCAAAACAGCCAGATAAGGAACCAAGCCACCCCTTCTTTCAGAAAACCCTGGATAACCGAGATAACTGATGACTTCAGGGATACCGCTTCTCTCCTCCATGCCCTAATTCCCACTCTGAGACTGTCAATTAGGCACTAAAGAATGAACCTGAACAACCCTAGACGCCCCACCCTTGTGCCCTACCAAAGGCAGAGAGCCCCAGGTCTGTGTTCTCTCTCCACCTGTGACCTCTCTGTGAGGCCCCTGGGCACATGCTGTGTACCCACCAAGACCTGCTCCTCCAACTTCCCTGATGGTTTTTGTTGGAGTGCATCCTACAATCATTAAGAACCACAAAGGCCAGTCCAGCTACAACACTGGCCCCTGTGGGGGAAACATGTGGGCCTGGGCCAGTGCTTGGGGCCTTCCTAGCTGATAGCATGACTATCAATAGGCTGGGACTGACACAACGGACCCAGTCCTAGAATGGGATGCAGAGAAACATGGTAGGGATGATTTTAAGAATCTTGATCAGTACTGCCAAATTTCTCCCCAGGGAGGCCAGTTACTCTACCTCCAGCAGCAATGAGACTTGGGTGAATGACTTCCAATTAAAATGTATCCTATTACACTGTGTGTATAGGTTCCAGATGTCTGCCATCAGAGGCATTTTACCTGGGACACCTGCATGAGGAGTGATGATTGGGAAATATAATGAGGTGTAGATATTTTGGGTCTGTTCCCAGGACAAAGCAAAAGCTGAGATGCGAATTCCTTCACATTCTGCATCATCCATCCTTTTCTACTGCCTCAGAGAAAGAGGTGCTGTGCTGGGGAGGGGGGCAGGCACCCATTCTTCTCCATCTGTTACCCCTTCTTTCTCTAGTACCTTCAAACGTTTGCCTCTATTAGCTTTGTTCTCTGAAGGATGAGCAAGAACTAATATGGGGAAGAGAGGAGGAAAGAGCGTTCCAGGCAGACAGGACAGTGTTTGCACAAGCCTCTTGGCAGGAAGGAACATGCAGAGTCACAGTGATGGGAAAGGTCAGCCTTATTAGGTGGAATGATGGGATGGGCTGGGGCAGCCAAGTTTGGTCTCCTCAAGAGCACAGGGAGGCCACTGAGGGGTCACAGCTGTGATGACGGTGGTGGTGGTGGAGGAGGTTGTATCTTGCAGTGACCAGATATGGGTTTTGAAAAGACCACTTTAGCATCAAAATGGAGTATAACTCAGGGGCAGGAAGGTAGAGCGTAGGCATAGGCACAGGCAGAAGACTTTTACAGTCGAGGAGAGAGAATGGGAATGCTCCCCTCCATAGAAGAGCCAACTTCTCTGGCCTAGTTCTTTCCTCCCCATGCAGACTTCCTTCTCAGAGGCCCTGCCACCTGGAGGGAGAGAGGATCTGCAATGAGCTCACCCCTCCAGACAGAGAAAGTGAACAAATTGGAGATCTGGCCATCAAATTAGTCCTTTTTGAGTGAATTAGTTCCCCCAGGTGAAATGATAAAAATAGTTTCTAAATCTGCAGGTTAAAAACAGCGCTGGATTCATGGTACCACAAGTGTAGGTGGCCAGAAAGACCCCACCTGAGAGCACTGGGCAGACAGCATTATCTCCTTTACTTACTTCTTATGAAAACAACCTGTGTCCATTGATGGATAGACGAATAAAGAAGAGGTGGCATATACATACAACAGACTACTACTCAGCTATAAAAAAGGTGAAATCCTGCCATTTGCCACAACACGGATGGACCTGGAGGGTATTGCACTAAGTAAAATAAGTCAGGTGGGTGCCCTCATGGGAAAAGACAAATGCCATATGAACTTCACTTGTATGTGGAATATTAAAAACCAACTAACAAGCAAAAAAGCAAAAACAAGCTCAGAGAGGCAGATGACAGATTGGTGGTTGGGGTGAAGACGGGCAGGAGGGCAGAATGGGGAAAAGGGTTCAATTGTATGGTGATGGATGGAAACTAGACTTTTGATGGTAAGCACGATGTAGTATGTACAAATGTCAAATTATAATGTTAGACACCTGAAATTTATATATGTTACCTCAAAAAAGAAAGAAAGAAAGAAAATAAAAGAAAAAGAGGCTATGTCTTACAATCTCCCGCTGAAAATATGTGGAAAGTGATGCCCAGAAAGGTTTAATCCAAAGAAATTTATCCAAAGTCACATAGTAACTTTTAAGTAGTAGTTCCCAAACTTTCAAAAACTCATTTGATGTGTGATACTTTCAAAAATGCTCTACTGGATAGCACCTTTAAAAAAACTGAGATATACCTGACATATAACATTGCATTCTTTTGGGATATACAACATGATTTGATATATGGGCCTGTTAGCTTTTAAATACACTTAGATCTCGCTTACCTTAAAAACAAAACAATTCTCTCTCTTCAGCCTCATCTCTACACCTCATTCTATGAGGCCAGTATTACCCTGAGACCAAAAGCAGACAAAGGCATCAAGAAAAAAACTAGAGACCAATTCTGCTACGAAGACAGATGAGAAAAGTCTGGACAGAAACGTTGCTGGGAGAGACTTGCCTTGCTGATCTCCGTCAGGGACATGGTGATGCTGTAGAGTTGGTTCTTACTGGTGCTGACAAGCAGGGTTTCCTCTGAGGGGCTGAAGCACAAGCAGAGGATGTCCTGTTTGTCAGACTGACTCGGGTCGTTGCTCTGCGGGTCCACAGGAATCTGCCCACAACACAAGACGGCTGTCAGTGACGTGCCCGCATCATCGGCGGGTTCCCTCAGGTGTAATGAACTAGGACTCCCAGACCAGCATGGCTCCGATCCCCTCAGAGGTAGGGAAGGGAGGGGGGCTTGAGTTGCCTCTGTTTCTGTGGGTTTCATATTCACCTTGAAGTGATTAGTGGCTGAATAATAAGACAATGGCACACGTAGAAATGATCGATCTGCACCTGCCCAGCTGAGATCTCCTCTGAAAACAAGTGTCAGTCGAACTCCCACTCACTCCCACTCTTGAATTCACTTGGGATAGGTTGTGTACCCCAGGGCAGGCGCCCACCTGCACCGAGGATACCAGCGTGCGCTTCAGGGCGGCAGAGGGGAAGGTGACAGCCCCTCTTCCATGTGGGTAGATGCCAGGGCAGAGAAAAGAGAAGGGGTCACACAGCTCCTGCCAGCAGTCTCTGAGGGGGCCTGTACTTCCCAGGTAGGCATTATAAAATTAGATTTCCTTTTCCCTGCTATTGCTTTTCTTCTATGAACAACCAAGCTTCTTGAAAGGTTGGCCTACACATACCATCTCCTCTTCCTTATCACCCACTCAGTTCTTAATTCCTTATCATTTGATAAATAAAATTTCCTTTCACTGTCCTCATACGCATTAGAAATGTCCTTATCACCAAAGCCAGATGCTCAGTCCTCATCCTCTTGACTTTTCTAGAGCCTGCAGCTGTGATGGCGGCACTGCCTCCCTGGGGTCCAGGACACCGGGCTCTCCTGTTTCCCTCCCTCTGCCTGGAGTTCTTCACCCTTCTTCACATAGTCAATTGCCCCTGCTCCACAGGACAATGAAGGCTCTGGGAAGTCCCTGACCTGCACTGCGCTGGGCTGGGCGGCCACTGATATTCCCTCATTGTGCCCATGGCACCTGATAGTTCCCTCTGCTGTCACATTTGTGTGACACTCTGCTGTGTACAGTAAAATGGGAGCCCGCAGACCTGGGACCTTGTGTGTGCTGCCCCATTGCTGTCTCCCACAAAACTGAAGATACACAGATTTTGCTGGATTCAGATGCTCATCTTAAGCAGCAGAGTCACGTCTAACTCATTCAATGTGTGTTTAGCTGCTTCCTGTCCAGGGCCCCGCAATGGCCCACCCTCTCTCGCAGGCAGAGCACTCTCTTGAGCTTATGCTTCTCCACTCAGGAACAGGCTGTCCGGCACACACTCCTCAGGTTGGAGCTCTTTCACCCACACGAGTTCTCATCTTTTCCCTTCAAGTGATGTCAGTCCCTCTCCATTGGGGAACACAAGGTATCCCAAGTACACCACCCGCTCCCTGTCAGTGATGCCTTTGCTTAATTTGTTCCTTCCACCTGGAATTCCTAATCTGTTTCTTTTAAGTGCTACCCATCCTCTGTTTCTTCAACAATTACAATCAAACACCCAGAAGCCTTCCTGGTTCTTCCCAAACTAGATATGCTCTCTCTTCAAAACAGTTTGTATCATTTATTCCACACACATTTACTAAATGCTCACTGTGTGCGTGGTAGTACGCCGGACATTAAATATCATTATGTATCATCGTAATACAATTTTTCATGGGAGCACTAAGCGTCAAAGAGAAATAGAATTTGCCAAAGTTCTCTCCCAGGATTGAAATCCAGATCATCCCAGTTCTAAACCCCAATTCTGTCCAACCCATCCTAAAACTTCCTCAGGACAAATGGCTCAAATCCCCATTGCTGCTCAGTGCTACACCCCCTTCTCCCCATCAAACTCCTTGTCAGTGCTCTGCTGCTGGAGAACAAATGTCAGTAGGACCCCAGTTTTGCTTATTCCTTCTCTCCTTACCCGGATTTCCCTGCTCTCATGATAAAAATCCTTGTCTTCCATCTTCTCAAACAGTAGAACTCTCCCTGGCCCAGCAGAACAGGCAAATCCCTTTGAGTAGGCTGCAATGGCAAACACCTGGGGCATGGACTGCTGGGTGTGGCTATCAGTCTCCAAGATCTGTTCAAAGGAAGGGACTGGGGAACTGAGTGTTGGAAATTCGATCAAGCTAGAAAAAGAAAACAGCATGTAAAGTTTACAGAGACGATCCCCAGGAGAGGAATTCTGCTAGGGATGAGAAAGAAGGGCTGCCCTTGGGTGTGGGAGAAACCACCCAGTGTGAACCCCTTTCCCATTGCCAAAACACTGCCCTTTGCCCTGGGAATGCCACACAAACTCCAAAGGAAGATTGGAAAGTTACACATTTATTTGGTAGTCTCACAACCCTGTGTGGTCACTACTACTATTGTCATAATCTACACTAATAAAAGAGAAACATGGTAATTAGCGTACGACCGCTACCCTTTTCATTGGCTAATCAGTGAGTATATGCAAATTAACTGTCAGCCAAGATGGCGGCCGGCAGCCAGGCACTGAAGCGAGCACGAGGCTTGCTTGCTGCAGACTCCAACGTTCCCCGCCACACTTGCCGGCCTCTCATCTGCAACTCTAAGCAACTATATACTATGTTGCAAATAAGAAGCTAAACAAAACCCCAGAAAAGGGCTTCCATTCAGCCGGGCTCGGACCGCAACATTGTATCGATGTTTTCAGCAGCGAGGCCTCAGAGCTAAAGCTGGCCCAGAATAAAAAAAAAAAGAGA